GTCCTGCCGTTGCCCTAGGTGGCTATACTGAAAAAATAAGTCAGTCCCTGTGTGGGCCCAGGCATCTGTATTTTTAAAAGCTCCTTAGGTAATTCAAGTATGTTGCCAAGGTTGAGAACTCCAGCTCCACAGCCAACATTCGGGCTATAACCCTTTCTCCCTGGGCACCTGTATCACTGTGTCAGATGCATTTCACCTGCTTGCCACTCCCTTCCTTTACTTTCCTGGACCTCTTTTCACCTTGTCCTTGTTCTGCTCACCAGGAGGCCTAGGCAATGAAACTGTGCAGAAGGCCAGGCAGGATGTGTTGCAGTGGGAAGGAGGGGTATAGGGATCCAGAAGCAGGCGGGAGGCAGGGGCAGCGAGGAGAGGCCGCAGAAGCAATGGGATTCCCCACGGTCCCTGCCCTCTCCCGCCCTCACACCTCCTTCCTCTGCTTCAGGCCCAGATAGATACGGACAAGGGTGGCTAGGTCGGCAACTATGCAAAGCTTTCTGCCCACACTTCTGGCCAAGTCCTCCCTCAGGGTGTTGAAAGGCCCTGGAAGTCCCTTACTGTTTACGGAGGGAGTGTGGGCTGATATCCTGGGAACAGAGTCCACAGACCTCCTGTGTTGGAAAGCACTGTGGGGTCAGAGCTCCTTTCCAGCTGCTCTCTCCCAGAGTGCCCCGGGCCAGTCGCTCTCCCTCTGTGCACCTGGGAAACGAGAGGACCTTGCTGCATGGTTTCCTCCACCTCTGACAGTTTGGACATGTGCAGGCAGCCTTGTGTTCCTTGGGGAAGGCTCCAGAATGTCTCCTCAGAGTTGTGCGACATCTGCTGGATGTATGATCTGACCTCCCTTCTGCGTGTTCTCAGCTATGAGGGACAGGTTGGAAATGGAGATCTTCCGCAGCTACAAAGATGGCAGGTAGGTGTTGGATGTGTAACAAAGTATACAGTGGGATTGGACCTCCGCATGGCTTTTTCTTTAAAACTGAGAAGAATGACTATTTTGAAAGAGTCATTTTGCAGGCAGACTAAATGTCTGTTTTGCAAGGGGCCATGCAGCACTCCCATTGGTAGGGCAGAAGTGGTAAGACCTGCTCTCTCTGGGCTGAGTGTGTGCCATGGAGATTCCTGGGGAACTGGGCAAGGTAAAGGGAGTCAGCTAGATGGAGGTTGCTGCAAGAGGACCCTGACGCTGGAAGATGTCTGGGAGCTGGGAGAAGCCACATAACAGGGACTCTTCACAAAGGCTGAGCCTGAGCTCTGTGAGGAGATGTATGGAACAGCAACGAGGGAGGGATGTATCTTCATGGAGTAATGGGTCAAGGGAAGAGTCAGGTCTCCAGCCTAGCCATTGGCAGAGAGATGCCCTCATAAGGACACTGGGCGGAAGGGGCAGCAGTGCTGGAGCTGCAGATGAGTGAGGAGGCCCTGGAAGATTGTTGGAGGCTTGGCTCTAGAGGCAGCAGAGATGACCTCTGGAAACTTCCTGGAGACATCCCGGGAGCAGACCTGCAGAGCACCTGGAGTCTGTGCATTGGGAGGGCAAGGGCTTGGGGAGAACAAGAAGTGGTCTTTCCTTTACAGCTGGGGGCTGCAGAGACCCCAGGCATGAGGGCTGCTCCTCACAGTGCTTACCCTGCTGTTCACAGACAGACTGCACAGGACAGGGCGAGAGCTGATCAGGACTGCACAAAGCACAGGGCCCAGTGCTGCGGGGAGCGTTTATGGAACTGCTGCAGGATTATCATCTTTGCTGATGATCCATCATGGGAATGTTTTCATGAACTGTGGCCCAACTTACCTGGATCCGTTTGTTAACTTCTGCTTGATAACCAGGTACCACTGTCCAGGCCTATCCCTCCCATTTGTGGGGTTCAGGACAAGAGGGCAAATGGAAGCCTACATACTTAAACATTATAAATACAGCTAACATAACAATGTGAATTATCTAATATCTCAAAATGTTCTTATCCACCATATATACAGGCACTGTGAATATGGCACTAATTAACGAGAGCTTCTGGAAGCACATATTGGAACATGAAGAGAAGCAAGAAAGTGAATGCTCAGCACTTCTGGGGAATTATATTCTGTTATGCAAGACTCTCTTGCACTCATGCTGTCTGAGAGGAAGGGTTGGGCAAGTTCATTTGCCTTACTGTAAGCACGCTGCTCACCACCAATGCCACACCTTCCCAGCAACAGTCACCTTTGTTTTGAGGTTTTAGAGCAAAAGGTGAGGAGATGGGTTTTCCTGGCCTCTAAGTGGTCCTCACCAAGAGGGTGGATGTGTAGGATGTTTTGTGTTTGTGTTTTTAATATGTGGGGTGCTTGAAGGCACGGGGTCCCCTTGTTGGGCCAAAATTGTTTTATTTCATTTTATTTATATTTGGACCTTACATACAGAGATTTCAGTTGAGCATACACCTCAGTTCATGATACAGTATAATCTTTGGTCTATCCAAGGGCCTCTTAGCCTTAGATGTGAAATTCAGGATGTTTTTAAGAGAACTACCAAATTAGACTAAATGTACTGCTAAGATGATGGTTCTCAACTATTCTGAGAAACCTGTCTTTAAATTAGTTTTAAGATAGATATGGCTTAGTTCTTGGATATTTTATCACAAAAAAGTTCAGGTTCTTTCTCTAATATCAGTTTATAACCTATGAGGGACAGAAGGGCCAATAGCATTGGATGCAGATAAGTGTTTAGAGTCGAGGTGTCCAAATTTCACATGAGAATACAGGGGACCAAGGAAGAGGTGCTAAACTTGTGGGCTGGGCTGCCTGGATGTGAGACGCATGCAGTACAGTCGTCCTGCCTCCGCATCACTGACTTGTCCAGCCTGGCTGTCCCTGGCAGTCAGCCACTTCCCATCTCCCTGGCTGGGCTGCCCTCCAGCACCTGTGCTTCCTGCCCGTAGCTGTCCATTCAGCCATTGTAGCTGGCAGCACTCAAGTCTTGACAATGCTTCCAGTGTCTCTTCAAATCCCAGGACCTGTCTGTGCAGGTCAGCTAACAACAAAGGCTCTGCTTAAGGAAAAGCCCCCTTGGCTGTCAGTCAAGGCAGTGCTGAAGGGAGCCGTGGCTGAGAGCACCACAGCAAGCTGACCCTGGGAGTGTGCCACTCAGCTCCCAAAGAGGGAACCTGTCCCAGTGGGCAGGGAGTTGAGAGCCTCCAGCTGCAGCGCCAGTGGGGGTCTGTTGCTGTGCTGGAGCTGAGCTCACACTTTCCTGGGCAGCAGCAGCCAGGGACTGTGAGCAGCAGACACCCCAAGGACTCCTGGACAGCAGCAGCCTGGGACTGTGCGCAGCAGGGCACGTGGGCCTGACCATGTCTGCCCAGCACGGGACTCCCGAATGGGCGGTCTTTGTTCTAGAGCTCCCAACTGGGATGGCCAGCATTTGCTTGGGCACTATACTGCTCTGAGACTCTTCCTCCTTAATTCTCTTTCCTTCCCCATGTCCTTTCTTGGGGCTCAGAACAGCATTGCGTCCCAAGGCTCCCCCTGCCTGCTCCTGCTCCTTCTGCCCCTTCCTCCTTGGTCGTCTCACCCAGTAAATCCCTGGCACTGCCCACTCCGTCTTGGCATCTGCTTCCTGGAGGGTCTGAGCTTGTGAGAATATCTATGTTAGGAAAACCACATGTGGCTTTCCAGCTGTTGGCAGAGAGGAAAAAATGGTTTGAGGGTAGGAGAGCCAACAGTAACCTGCCTAGAGCCACTTGCCTCTAACAGCAAGGCTTGAGCAGGAGGTGAAATGGGCGAAGCTGTGGTCCCCTTGCTTTCCGGACTTCCTTAAGTCTAGCCTCTGTTCTGTACAAGGTACAGGGAGCCTGGGATCCCGGCTTGGCCCTCCCCTCCTCCTTTTGGCCATTATCTCCTCCCTGCACTGCAAGGTCTTTCTATAGGTGGAGTGGAGTGGAGTGCAGTAGAGAAGCCAGTTCCTCTCTTCATTTGGCCAGGTACCCTGTCTGTCTTGTTTAGAATTGATTCCCTAGAACCAAAAATAGTATCTAAAACATAACAGCCAGTCCGTGATGTTGGCTGAATGACTAAACAAGTGAGTAAAGGCGGGTGGACCTTATTTTGATGCTTCTGGTGGTTATAAAAGTGAACCAAGAAATAAAAGTTATCTCAACAGATTAGTATTATAGCCAAAAAACACGGTCAGGTGGTCCCAGAGCCACCTTTCTCATGAGTACGGTTCCTGTGGTGTCTGTTTACCCCCTCACTCCATGAGCAATCTCTCACTCCCAAATGTCTGCCCTGGGCTGAAGATCCCATTCTTGTGGTCAAGACACCCCTTACCCCCTGCATCCAGACATCCCCACGTGGCTGAAGCCAGCCCTCTCTCTGTTGGCCACCGTGTTTCGGGTGCCCTGAGATCACTCCTACCTCAGGAGAGCCTGTGGGATGACATTCCAAAGAGTACTCCTCCCAGCTTCTTTCATTTAAATAATTTACAGCCCTCTTCCTCCCTAGGTCCTGGAAGAAGTTTCCCTTCATGGGAAGTCCTTCAGAAGGTGATCTGAGCCTGGCTTTGGTGATGCACACTCAGACTTTAAAAGCCATTCTCTCTCAATTATCTCAGGCATTAAGCACACTAGCAGGTAATTATTTGTCTAAACCCAGAGGGAAAACAATAACCATCTCAAGAGCTGAGTTTGGTTCAAGACTCACTGGGCTTTCACAGAGTGCAGGAGAGAGGGCTCTGTCTACTCATGTCTTCACTGAGGACCAAAGCAGAGACAATGGGTTGAACAAGCAGTAAGCATTCTGTACGCTGGTTGTGGCTGAGCAGTGGCTCCCTTAAAAAGTAGGGCTGGTTCACTCTTGTGGACTATGCTATATGTGTGCACAGAGGCTGAGCTCCGGATAAAGTCCTGTTGTTCCCTTCCTCCTTGGCCACCTCAAGGTCCCAGGCCAATTAAAAGTCAAGTTGCCATCCCAGAGATGAGTCCTTTCAACAAAAGAGTCTCTTTCCATCTGAGTCTCAGTCAGTCACTTTCTCTGTCTTCCTATGAATTTCTATTATATTCATATAATATAAAAGAAAACATTATATTATATGGCAGGAAATTTCTCCAAGGTCAAGGTGGGAAAGAGTATGTTCATTCAATCATTTATTCATCCAACAAGCTTTCATGACATGTGTACCATGTGCCACGAATTGTTCTAAAAGCTGAGGATATATCAGGGAACAAAACAGATAAGGTCCCTGCTCTCACAGAGCTTATGCTTTAGTGGAGAGGAAAAGACTAAAAACAACCTGCAAATAAATGAGCAACAATTTCCAATCATGATGAATTCCAGTAAGACCATCAAACGGACAATGTGAGGAGAGGATGGACTCTTACTGGGCAGGGACGTAAGCTGGAGACAGGATTGCTAATTTGGATTAGTGGTCAGGAAAAAGATCACCAAGAGGTGCCACTTGAGCTAATACCTGAACAACCCCAAGAAGCCAGCCATACAAAGGCCGAGCGGTTGAGTGTTTGGGTAGACAGAAGAGAAGAGCGAAGGCTCTAAGATGGGGATGGGTAGGCGCGTTTGAGAAATCAAAAGAAAGTCCAAGTGGCTGAAGTACAATGAAGTTGGGGTGAGCAGGGGAGAAAGAGGTCATAGAAGTAGATTGTGTGGTGAAAATAACCAACCTGTCATCCTAACGAAACTAACAGTTCTGCACCCACCTCAATCTCTAGCACCTGACACTTGGTGCCTGTTGGTGCGGGGATCACCGATTGGTAGCAGGCTGTGGGACCTGAGCAAACTTTGGTCATTGCCAGAGTCACACATATATGCAGGTGTATTTAGAATCCTTCATTCCCACCAAGCTTCTGGTTGGTCTCTTCCGTATTTTACTCTTATCTTGGCAAAGTCAACAGAAGTTGCTTTGCAAACTCTGCATTCCAAGCCAAATACAGAATTCCCATTTAAACAAGTTGTGTTATATGAGAGGGAAGTAGTTAGTTCTCTAGGCTTTCCAGTGATAACCTTTGACTTCCATGTTAACTCTCTTGCTATGTAGCATTGGGCTACAGACCAAATCCAATTCAAAGAATTATCACCAAAGCTTCTCACTGATCAATGAGGGCTTTGTAGAGTTTTTGCAGCACCTCCACTCACTTTTTTTTAATGATGTCTTCTTCTAATTTCTTTTGATGGTCAGAGTCAGAAGAGTCACTTGACATTCTTGCTTCCTACCCAGTGAAGAAATCTCAGTGCTGACATTCTCGTCAGGCCAGCATCCATCCTTGACTGGGTTGTCCCTCGAATGCAGAATTCTCCTCCATCTAAAGGAGGTGGTCCCCTTGTTGGACAACTTTAGTTATTAGAAAACTCATCTGCCCGTTGGGTGGACATTTGTCTTCCAGGAGCATTCTTCGGCATGCTATATGAAGAGAGTTATCTTGTAGTAGTAGAGTCTTTTCTTCTCAGGATTACATTACCAGTTCCTCAGCTGCTTTCCTCAGTGAAGCTTCTAGATCCTTCAAAGACCTCAGATACACTTGTGACAGTTAGGACTCTTTTGATAACAGATGACTAAAAATCTAAATCAAACTGATTTAAGCTGAAAATACTTATTTATTGGTCGTGTATTTTAAGAGTCCAGGAAGTGCTCCAGGACTGTCTTGGTCCAGGGGCTGGCTTCTCCCTGTCAGCCCACAGGTGCAGCCTTCCTTTGAGTTGGGTTCATTCTAGTGCCCCATAGGGTAGCCCTCAGAACCCCAGGCTCACATCAGAGCTTAAAAATGATGCTCAGACTGGCTGGTCCTGATCACAATCCTCCTGTAGAGCAGAGGCAGGGATTAATGGCAGTAGGAACAGGTCACTGAACATGGAGGAGAGGTGGTCCCCCAGAAGAGAAGTGGGGTACAGCTACCTGGAGAAAAAAGTGAATAGATGTTTAGGGCAAAACAACAATATTCCAACTGAATCACAGATTTAAAAGTGACCAATATATCCCATTTCATCTGCCTGGAGTATAATTTCATTTTGCAGCATTCCAGTTAAAGCCCTCCAGCCCCCAGTCTCAATTCATCTTTTCTTTCTTCCTGGGGTCTACCCTGCCTGCCCAACAGAGAAGTGTCCAGGGTGTTAATTAGTGTCTACTTGTGTTTCATCCTGCCGCATGGTGGGAGTAGAACTCAGACTGACCCCAGAAGCCAGGTGTTGGGCATCACAGCTGATGGCTCTGAGGTCCCTAGAGACTTCTGCTCTGCTGCTGTGGCCCTCACCATAGAAGGGCATCTCCCACTGGCCACAGGCAGGATCTGCGGGTACCTGGGATGAGTATCCTATTCAGGTGCTGCCTCTGGCTGGGGCAGAGAGCCTCTTGTTGAGATGGAGGCTGGCTTTTCACTCCTTTCCCCTTCCCATGCCCTCTGCCATAGGCTAAGCCCACAGGATCCTCAACACAGTGTGGCCTGGGTGCCAAGCATGTACATAAATAATTTTTTAATGTTTGAGGGCTTTTGAGGATGAAGTAGAGTTACTACTCCTGTAGTTTGCCTAACAGTGTATTCATCGATGTTCCAAATTTATCAAATGATTAACATTCCACCAACTTTCAAAGCTCCATAGTTCTCCATATATTTACACAACTCTTACACAGTTATAAACCCATTGACTTACAAATTAAGTTTCCACAGTCATTTTCATATTGATGGAAAATTATTTCATCCTCATATTATAAATCAAGTTCTAAAATTACAAATCCATTGTATCAGATTTTCTTAAATGCTTCAAATACTTTAAGAAATAAAAATTCTCCAAATATCACAGCCATTAGAAAACTGATTATTGGATTTCCATGAAACCACTTATAAAAGTGCTTGTACCTGGCTTTATTTATTATATTTTTATTATTCTTTATTCTAATATCTCACTGAAGGCCTCTTCCTAGGGCTTACAATGAAGAAAATAAAAACAACTTGTATTTCTATTTTTTGTAGACTGCTTGAAAAAGGATGCTTCTAGCAAATTCAGCTTCAAATATGAAGTCTGATTCATTTCACAATGTTAATATAGGTTACATGTGGGGAGTGGCAGTGGGAGGATAAACTTTAATTTTTGCTGTATATACTTGTACACTGTTGGAATATTTTTTTATTATGCATTTACTACCTTGTAATAAATACAATTTTAGGTGCTCCAAGTAATAAAGACTGAAACACCCGTAATCAGCACTGGTTATACTTCTTGTGCTTCCTTCTAGTCCTTTTTTTCCCCTTTCCCTCTGCAGCATCTGTTCCTTTTTGCAAAACTAGAACGATAATCCATATTTAATTTTTTCCTCCCACTTTGAATTTTAACTTAACGTTATGTCACAACCACTTTCTCACGCAACCAAATATTCATGGGAAATGTAGGACTTGTAACAGCTGCATGATACCCCGTCATGGGGGTGCACCAGAATTCCTTGAGTCATCCTCCTATTGTTGGCAAAAAATTGCTTCAAATCTTGGAAGCACATGAAAGATCATCCTATGTGAGTTTCTTATTTTCCAGATGAAAAAACTGCATTCCCTGAAGCTAATAATTTGTCAAGCATGGCCAGCTGGTTAGAGGCTTGGCTGAGACCTGGCGCTCCCAGGCCTGGGCCTCTGCTCTTGCTGTCATCCCACACTGCCTCCTGGGCCTCTGCAAGGCGCTTTTGGAAGCTAACTGTAGGGCACTGCCTGCATTCTTTCTAAATTACATTTTGTAATTTGGGGCCCATCAGTCCTGCCTGTCAAGATCATTTTTTATATTGTGTCACATAACCATTAGTTAACGAGGGACACTGTAGCCAACATCAGAAATTGTGGCTCTTTCCTCTATCAAGATGTGCTTCCTACATGCCAGTAAAGGGGAAATACTGTCATAACTTTTATCAGATAATTCCAAAGTCACCAGCAATTATAGGGAAGGGTGCTAATTAGCATAACTCAGGCCATGTTTCTCAGGAATCCCCTGGGTTCTGACATTCTGTGATCAGGATTCCAGCAGATGCCCCGGCTCAGCCCAAGGGCCTGTCCTCACAAGATGGAAGAGGAATAATTATTGGGTGGGGAGAAAGAGGAGAGGTGGAAACTAACATTTGTTGCCAACTCTGCCCAGCTCTGGGTACCAGGGTGCAGATGACAGAATCATTACAAGAGGGGGATTCTGGAGGATGGGATTGGAATGGTTTTGGGGGGGAAAGTAGATGGATCAGGGGTATCTTCCTTTTACTCAAACTGTCTCATCCTGAGGTTGTATTATTAAATTCCACATAGAGGAATTCTCATGAGAGAGGAGATTGTCTTGAAGCGCTGGGTCCTATTCTGAATTTTCCTTCATGTTTTATCCAAACTTTACAAGGGAGTCTTTCACATCAGTGTCTGTCATCACTAGAATCACTTTTTGAGTCATCTAATATAGTTTTTTTTTTCCAGAATGCCTTGTTCACTCCCACCTAAGTTATTTGAGACACAGCCCCTTTAAAATCTGCCTTTGGAAATGTGTGACTTGGGTTTATTATGCATTAACATTTTTTGTGTATTGCTTCAGAAAATGTTTAATTCATATGGATGCGATTGGCAGATGCCACAGAATGTGATAGTTTCTATTTATGGTCAATGTTAATCCATTGACCATATGGCACTTTAAATTTCTGGTATAAATTCCTTTTGCATGATGTTATAGCTCATTCCTGGACTGCCATAATTGTGTAACTTATCAATGTGAAAAATAGACTTTGAAATGTAATAGTGCAGAGCTAATATGGAGAGCAAAAAGGGAATTTAGTGTGTTTAGAGAGGAGCTTTTTCCATGGAAACTAATTCCTTGCACTGAGGTCCCTGGGTCCCTGGGCTGCTGTGGGAGTGGTGTGTCCAGGTGATATGACCTGGGTTCCAGGCTGGTTCTGATGAATTGCCAGGTGCCAGGGCAAGTCCCTTAATATCTTTGGGAATTAACATTTTTATCTGCAACTTGAAAAGTCAGACTAGTTCAGTTTTTACTAGACTTCGGAGTATTAGTGGCCAGTGATATTTTTTCCAGTTTTTATTTTGAAATAATTTGAAATTCACAGAGAAGTTGCAAGGAGAGTATAGAGAATTCCCATATACCTTCCACCCAGCTTCCTCTGA